TGGAGAAGACATCATGTCCATTGGGTGTTCTCCTGATTGTTTTCGAGTCTCGTCCTGATGCTTTAGTTCAGGTTTGTATCATTTTGAATGCCTTGCAAAGTTGCAATGCTTATATTAATTAGCTTTGCACTGACAATGTTGTCCCCCCCCCCCCTCTTTCCTGTCAGTCATTAAAAAAAAGGTCTTTTGGTTTCTAATTGTTGTTTAGCTTGGGGCTTGTCATATAATGAGAAAGCGAGGGCAATAGCAATTGATGCCAGTTTGTAGCATGGAATGAAATAACAAAGACCATTTATGAGCCACTGCATAGAGAATTTCCGATAGATCATTATGTAGCATATTTTAAAGTCGTACTGCAAAATCATGTATAGTGATTGCATATCTTCATCAGACATAACAATTCGTTGCTAAAATTATCACATCTCCTGGTGTCTTCAAGTTTCCTGTAAGAGAATTTTTGACCCATATATTAGTCTCATCATTTGTTTAGTACTTTAAAGATTCTCTTGAAATAACAAAAGGTGCTTTGACTTTGCCCTAACTAAATAAGGTGTTTTCTCAATTTGGGGAATGATAGCCGCGACTCTCGACATAAGCTAGCAAGGTCTTGTGCAGTTGTGCCACAAAACACAGTTAGATTGTGATGTTATATTTATGTGATGGGTCTGGCGAGTAGATAAGGCATATCAATCAATTTTGTCCGATTCACCTGTATAAATGACAGACCTACCTGACGTGACATCTCTAGATTATTGATATAGGACCGATGTAGCCAATTGGATGTTAGTCTTGTTTGAGAAAGCTCATGTTTTCAGCAAGTTGTTCTATAAGTTATGTTATTGAGCTTATAGAACAACGAATACTAGTGTTGGATACGGGAGAGGTTTATAGGTCTTGCACTCAGCCAAGCTATGAAAAATCTGCATATTATGCAAGTTGAAGTGTCATCACTTGCTGCAGGCGCCAAATTGTGGTAGATGGCTGAGGTAAATTTAATTGATTAACATATAGGCAATGCGACAATTTTCTGGAACATAGAAGTGTCCTGCTGTATGATTTTCATGGCATGAGAAGGGAAATGACCAAGTTAGAAGAGGGAAAGATTAGCTAATATATTCATGAGTAGAAAATTGGTGGCACTACCACGAGAATTGATCAAGTTTCAACCCTGGTCCAGCCACATTCTAATGTCCAGAAGCTAGTAAGCTACTTTAGAATTGCGTTTCCAATTGGAAGGAGAGCTTAAATGCTTAATGTTCTTGTTGTATCATGTACATGTCTTGCTGTTTCTGTTAATGTCAATAGCTGATTTTAATTATTCTTGATGAAGCTGTAATTGTAGACTTGAACTTTATTGTGGACCTAGAATCTCATGGCAATATCCATAAGGCTTGGAGTGCAGTGTATTACTAAGCAGGCCAAATTAGTATAGTTGATGGCAGAAAAAGGGTGTTTTCCTTAGCGTACATATTCTCTTATTGACAAAATATGTGACCAATAAGCAATAAGTGTTGCTGCGTTTGAGTTTGTGTGTTCTTAGCCAAGTAATGGTGGAAAACATTCTTTGAAGGTAGATTATGTATCAAAATTTTCTGATCATCTTGTTAAGGTGACAAGTGGATTTTGATTTGGTGCTTTTAGGCTTTGAATTATTGTCACATTATATTTTTAGAATGTAATATATTATTTAGATAAATATGAATTTTCCCTTTCTAATGCTAATATAATGCCTACAATATTTGATTGGTAATGGGGACTTTCAACTCCCAAGACATTGTCACCACAGCAAAATTCACTTACTTAATTTTGGTTGTTACTGATTGAATCTGATGTAATGACATGTTCAGAAACATGCAACTCTTAATCATCTCTCGCTGTCTTTTTTTTTTTTTTTTTTTTTTTTTTGTTTCAAATTAAAAAACTCTGCAACATTTTTCAATGCACGATATTGTAGATTGTTTCTCTTAAACACGCAACATTAAACATGGAAATCTGTTGGATCTTATATTTATTAGACTGTAATGTAATAGCTTAGATGGTGATCTGGTTTTACGTGGCATGATAATTCCTTTTTAATACACTAACCATCCCTTCTCCTATCCAAACCTATATTGCAGATAGCTTCATTAGCCGTGCGGAGTGGAAACGGGCTTCTTTTGAAGGGTGGAAAGGAGGCAAAGAGATCAAATGCTATTTTACACAAGGTTTATACCCCTCCCTTCTTTCTCCTCTCTTGATGTCTCTTTATTTTTGCCTTCAAGCTAAATTTGTTTTATTAGTGTTAAAAGTTTAAAGGCAACTGCCAAATATCTCAGATATAAGTCATATAACATAACTCTTTTTTTTTTTTTTTTTTTTTTTTTTTTCTCAATTTCAGGTTATTACTGGTGCTCTACCAGGCAATGTTGGTGAGAAACTAATTGGTCTAGTCACCACGAGAGAGGAGATTCCTGATTTGCTCAAGGTAAATAACCATATATATGTTTCCAAAATTATGTTGGGGTAGCTGTGATAATCAGTACTAAAAAACATTTACTGCTGCTGCAGCTTGATGACGTCATTGATCTTGTCATTCCAAGAGGCAGCAATAAACTTGTTTCTCAGATTAAAGAGTCAACGAAAATTCCTGTGCTTGGGCATGCTGGTAAGTTAATTCTTAACTTAGAATCATGTAAACGTAGGTATATACTACTCTACTAGGACCTACGTAGTATTACTTAGAAGGACGCCAGATGTTATTACTGATTAATCTTCATGGTTATCTTCTTAGATGGAATTTGTCATGTCTATGTTGACAAATCTGCTAATATGGATATGGCAAAGCGGGTTGTTTTGGATGCAAAGATGGACTACCCAGCTGCATGCAATGCAATGGTAAATCTCTCATTCTATTAGTTTCTCTGCATCTTGTTGCATTGAATCTCAGCTTTAACATCATAATTCTCTTTGGCATGCTTTGTTATCACCTTTTAGGAAACGCTCCTTGTACACAAGGATCTGCTACAGAATGGAGGCTTGAACGAGCTTGTTCGTGATCTTAGATCCGAAGGTATGCATCGTCAGTCATTCTAATTACTTCGTACTTCTTACATGAGTCAGAACTTACACACTGGTGTTGCAGGTGTTGATTTGTTTGGTGGACCAAGAATCAGTGCCTTACAGGAGCTGAATATTCCGGCTACTCAAACATTCCATAAGGAGTACAACACTCCAGCTTGCACAGTGGAAATTGTGGATAATGTCCATGCTGCCATTGAACATATTAATCAACATGGAAGGTAGTTTCTCAACCATGCTTTTCATACCTCAGTCTGATCTTCTAAGAATGGCTGGTGATTCTGAATCTGGACCCTAATCTCTTTTGCATTGTGGGTTTTCAGTGCACATACCGATTGCATTGTAGCAGAAGATCAGAAAGTTGCGGAAGCTTTTTTGCAGAAAGTAGATAGGTAAGGACATCATATATGTTCAAAGCTGAGAATTATGTGCCAAATACTTATGTGCTTAATTCCTTGCATTTTATATTAATCATCATAGCAGCCCTAGATTTATATCTAACAAAATCAGAGCATTTTGATACTTTTTCCCTTAAGAACTAACACATAAGAACACGCTTGAACGATTGGTTGTTATTACATATTTTTCATTGTGGCTTTTTATGTAAACTTTCAGTGCTGCTGTATTTCACAATGCAAGTACGAGATTCTGTGATGGGGCTCGTTTTGGGCTAGGTGCCGAGGTATATTCTCAAAACACTCTTTGAATTAGTAAAAAATATTATTGCACTTCAATAAAATCTCATGTCACAATATTTTAATCTCCAACAGGTTGGGATTAGTACAAGTAGGATTCATGCTCGAGGTCCAGTTGGAGTGGAGGGGCTATTGACCACAAGATGGTATGTTCATGCCAAAATTCCTAATAGCTTAGTACAATGTTATCTAAGATTGTATTGCATGTCTTACAGCACATCATCGATTAGGTTATATTATCTAATTTGCTCTGCTTTTGGTGTTTATGTTGTTAATGTTATGCTATGAGAATTGGTGTAGGTATCAAAACTTATTGTCCTACTGATGTACATTATCCAAGGGCTGTATCTGTCGAAGTTGAACAGTAGTGTGCACATGAAAATGGCATTATACTGCTGATTCTATATTCTTATGATCTATACTAAACGAACAGACCTCCAGTTTTGCACTTCCTGCTGTTAATTTAAATGAAATGTTATCACTGCTGACTGGAGCTTATTGTCCCTTATGCAGGATTCTCAAGGGAAGTGGGCAAATCGTTGACGGTGACAAAGGCGTGGTATATACCCACAAGGATCTTCCAATTGTGTCATAAACTCTATGAAATTTTATTTAACACCTTATTATTGTTCCGTAGAGACCCCCCATAGTAGTGCAGTTTGTGTGGGGGAAAAGGATCTGCATTTTTCTTGTCCTCTCTCCCGCTGCCTTTTGGGTAGTCTATGTATTTCGTAGTTTCTACTTCTGACCCATCTCCATGTAGTTGAGACTATTGTAGAGGCTATTTATTGTGTCCTTATCAAAATAAACATTACCTAGTTGAAGAAGGTTTTCATTTATTTAGGCGCAAAATTATCTTATCTCGAACTTGTTTGATACAGCCCATTATTATTTACCTACAAAGTTTGTTATTCTATGCATTGGCACTATAAATGCAATATGGTATTGGTACATTGATGTTGCAATAACACCTTGATGCAATTGCTTTCTCAAAGGAAAGGAAAAGGAAAGGAAAAGTATTCGTTCATACACCAAGCAAGATAATAAGTATTCGTTCATACACCAAGCTAGATAATATGTTGCTTCATGGCAGTAGATTCAGGTCTATATAAGGATAATTACCAATTACCTAAAGTTCAGCTGATAGTATAGAGTATGACAGATTCACATATACTTCAACTCACAATCTTAGAAATAGATCCTGCCAATATGAAAATTGATTTCCCCATAACTGTACACAATTACGCATATAAAAGTGAGTTTCAGGACTCAACATATGGTAGCAAAACCAGTAGAGCAACCATATTTAAGAATCACTTATTGTGTTGATTTGTTGGATATACACACCACAAACTTCCTAAAGCCTCGAATACTGGTTTAAGAACAAAAAAAGGCAACTAAGGACTGAGGAAGTAACAAGTAAGGCCATACAAGTTTGGCTTAAACAGCTGAAATGGAGCAAATTGTCTCAAAAATATACGTTCAATAAGCTTGTTCTTACATTATGCGTATGACAACTATGAGCAGCAAGAACAATTTTGTAACTACCATCAAAATCTTGATTATGGAACAGTTTCTGGTCAATTTCCTGCCATAGAAGCCCTGTAACCAAGCCTATGCCTCAACAAAATTCTTCACGTCCTTGAGCCACCTCAGATACTCTTTGTTATCCTTCTCGATCATGTACTCATGCAAAAAGTTTGTGGTGCTTGGCTTGATACCCCTGATCTCCAAATATTTGTGGAAAGCCTTTTGCAGATTTTCATCCAAATCACTAAGGAAAAAAAAAGGAAAAGTTGAGTAAATGCACAAGGTTATTTTTTTAAACAAGAATAAATGCCAAGTTAGAGATATAGAACATCATATATAATGCTCAACACAATATAACTAAAATTGTAGAGCATGAATAACTACTTACAGAAAATCAGGACCCTCGTATGCAAGCTGATCTTCAGTATCAGGATTTTTAAGCGAGAGACTGTTGATTGAAATTTCATCTGGATACGCAATGCAATCAAATTCCAAAGACGATCCATCCTTCTTGGTAACAGTTACAAGAAGCGGAACACTGGACTGGGTGCTTGTTTCATCTTTTTCATCCTCGTCATCTTGGTCCTCGTCCTCATCTTCCTCACCAGTTACAAGGCTGGGCATGGATACTTCGACTGAAATGGTCTCTCCCTCATACTGTCTTGTTAGGGTCACAGTCTGCTCTCCAGCATTGTCCTCAATTTCAAAAGGGAAGCCTTTGGGAACCTCTACAGTCTGCAAATGTATGAATTGTAAAATACAGCATCAGGATCAAATCAGAGGATACTGCACAAGAATTACAACACATGCTACCTTCAGCAATATATCTAAGCTACATTTGACATCACTTAGTCAAGGATGTTGAACATTTTCCACTATAAATCTATATACACAATTATGCATTGCAAAAGCAATATTATAAATTGGCCAAAGTTCAATGCATTCTGAATAACCTTCCTAGTACTTCAACTTACAATTACAATTCACAATCATAAAATACAACATTTCAATACGAAATCATAGTGTGTTGTTGTTACTTGATTACTTGGTTAGCATCAATATAAATTAACCGCATATATATGGCAGAAATTGAAATCCAATAACATTAAATAGCATAAAAAAGTTCGAATAACATAAATCTGGACAAATCAAGCCAATTAATTGGCAAAGAAAAGATGAACTAAAGAAAACCCAAAGTCAATTTACCTAATTACCCAGAACAATAAAAAATAAACCCAATTCACAGAAATTCGAAAGTAACCCAGAAAAATCAAAAATCACAAACGCAAAATTTTACAAAATCAAATCAATAAGAGAGAAGTAATGAGAGGACCTTATCGTGCTCCTCTGACTCCTCAACAACACTGATTTCGCTCTGAAGGACATCAAGAAGCTTGTTGTTAGACGACGAAGATTTGGTGGCGACGCTGGAAGAGAAATGGCGTGTGGGGTAGCAAGCAGCAGAGCGAAGGAACTGAGGAGAGAGAGAAGCGCGCTTGACGGCGGAGACGACGGCGGCGGAAGATTGGAAGTTCCTCTGAGCTCCGATGAGACGAGAAGCTAGAGGAGCCGCCTTGTTTGCAGATCTTCGAAGAATTGCAGAGAACGCCATTGTTGAGCTTTGGAGAAAGAGAGAGGATTTAGGGTTTAAGGGGTTTAGGGGAATGAATGAAATGAGGAGGTTTAGGGTTTAAGAAGCTAAGAGTGAGTTGATCGGTGGATAGAGGGTGAAATTGTCATTTCATAATTTTAATGCCCACTCTATTAAAACAAAAGGAAAAAAATAAGGAAAAATTGAAATAAATAATCCTACCTTTGACTCATCTACTCAAAATAATCTCACCTTTGCGTATTTCAGAAATAATCCTACCTTTATACCCCATATTCTCAAAACAAGCCTTTTTACCTTCAACCTGTTTTATAGGTTAAATTTTTATTATTTTTTAATTTTTTTTCTTTAATCTTTCTTCTTTCACCTCACTCCCATGGCAACCACCATGATCATCCCTTGCTGCCTGAGCAATCCCAGCCCCGCCCTTGCTGCCTGAGCCACCCCTACCCACATCCCAAAACCCTCCTAACCCAACCCTTCACAAAACACCACAGCCACCATCCCCACCGCCTTTTACTTGATATCTCCCATCCCGAAACCCCTTAAACCCAACGCTTCACCAAACACCACATCCAACCACGAAACCCCTCCCCCCTTGCTTTGCTTCCCCTCAAGCAATTACATTTCATCAATGTATTCAATTTATGAACAAACCACCTAATTTGAACAAATTGAGGGGTATCGATGGAGAGAACAAAGCGACGGAGACAGAGGAAATAGAAAGCGATGGTCGGAGAGAGAAAACGGGGCTGCGAAGTTGCGTGAAGGAGGTGTTGGCTGATTTGTGGGCTAAGCTCCAGGGTTGGTTGATTTCCGATGGCAAGTGAGGGAAATGTTTTGGTCATGGCTCGGTGGTCGAATGGTGTTCGGTTGTGGTAGCTAGGTATCGGGTCTGGTGGTAGCTGGGTAGTGGGTACCAGGGCTGCCAGCAACACCTGAAGGTGGTTGATTTTTTATTTATTTTTTTCTGGTGTGAGGGTGGCTGGATGTGGTGGTGGTGAATAGGGTAGGTGAAAATCAAGGGGGGCGATTGGGTAAGGCTTTTCCGGCGGACTGCTGGGTGCTTGGCGGCGACTGATCCGGCGAGGGAGGGGGGCTCCGACAAGGGAAGGAAGAAGATGGGTTATTGTTTTTTTTTTATTCCTTTATTTAAAAAAATAATAAAATAAAAGTAACCAATTAGAAGACAACACATGGCAAAATACCTTCTAAACAGGTTACCAAATTTACGAACAGGTAAAAGGCTCGTTTTGAGAATATGGGGTATAAAGGTGGGATTATTTCAGGAATACGCAAAGGTGGGATTGTTTTGAGAAGATGAGGCAAAGGTGAGATTATTTGTTTCAATTTTTCCAAAAAATAATAATAACCTTTTAAATGGTCCATTTTGCGAACAAAAAAAAACCTCGGTTAGAGGGGTGGCTTGCTGAGTTGCTGGTGGTGGAGTGGTGGTTTTTGTTAGTTGTTTTTAATTTATATATTAATTTAATTATTAAGTGGTTTTAATTTATATATTTTTCTTAATTATATTTCACTCTTCATATGGTCTCCACCCTTTTATTATTATTATTATTATTATTATTATTATTATTATTATTATTATTATTATTATTCAGTGGCGGAGCCAGGATTTATAATTCGGGGGGACAAATTTTGGAGGTTAAAGTTTCGGCAAAAATCTCAAGAAAAAAATTGATCACCTAAATTGTTTAATATTTATTTGAAATCACATATGCCAATTATTTCTATATGGCAAAAGAGGAATAAAAAAGTTTTATTGTATATTAAGAAAATTATCCAACAAAAATGAATAAATTTATGTTTGTAAATCCCGTTATGTAATCACATAATTGATATATACGAATTAATTACCTTATCATAAAGTCAAATAATTATCGTTAGAACAAATTGATGGTAGATATGAAGGGTCTGGGTTTGAGTTACATTCGAAAAAATAAACTCAACTTTCTCAAATCAATCATATTATTACATATGTATTTCGTATGTATTAATAAAAGTTAAAACACAGTTACAAACAATTAATTAATAGTAATCTATTTATTAGAAATGTAAAAAAATAGAGTTTAAGCACATAATAAAATTAAAAATCCTAAAACAAGAAATAGGAAATGAAAAATAAAATTAAAAAGACTATTGAAAATTAGAGTAATCAAAAAACAAGTAGGGGAAAAAAAAACAAAAAAGCTGAAAAATAGTAGAGTGGGGAATCGAACCTAAGACCAAGGCACAGCCTTACTAAGGACTCAACCACCAAACCATATTCAATATTGTGATATTTACTGTAAGTATATGATATTTATAGCCTTTTACTGTATTTTCTTGATTTTTTTTTTTTAAAAAAAAAAACTTTTTTTTCGAAAATGGGGGGACAACTGTCCCCCCTTGTTCTAATGTGGCTCCGCCAATGTTATTATTATTATTATTATTATTATTCTCTCATATTCCTACTTTCTATTACGAGTATCTCTATTCTACTCCGTATGATTGTTATATTCCAAACTAACCTCACTAACGTAATATGAGTATATTACACCATCCAACTCATTTCCTAAAACTTAGTCCGGTCAAACTAATACATATAAAAATTAAATATGTGTTATTTAATTAAAATTTTGGATTTTTAACTGTAAGTGTAAATTGAATAGTGGATATCACCCGTATTGAATACTGAGTGCTTAGAGGTTGTTAAAAAGCTGAAAGAGAGATTAATGGATGGTTCTTAAGTTATGATAATTTGAAAGATTTTAGAGTTTGCTATCTTATTTACTACCTTCGATTCTTAATACTCGCAACAAAGGGAGTATTATTTGTGAGACATAAAATATTTCTTTGTTGCGGATAATAAGAACTGGATGTAGTATTTATTTTTTCCCCTGTGTTTTTAGGGAAGGCTAGCCAGTAGTCATATAAATAATCTAGCTGTTTGCATCTAAAAAAAAGAAGGGGAAGAGAGGAGGGGGGGGGGCTTAGCATCAAAGGGAATATTCTACAAATTGTTTAAGATTCCTAAGAATCTTGATTGGCTTTTGGAAGGGACCAATTGGCCAAATCTTCCAAACATAACTAATGTAGTAGTGTACAAATATAAGTACTCCAAAAGTCTTTGTCACCAACCAAAAAAAAAAAAAAAAAAAAAAAAAACTCCATAAGTCCAAATGTCAACACGATCTACATAAATATTGACCAAATAGATCTAAAGTGTTCAAAAATGTGTTAGATTTCTTAGATTTGTGTTTGGGAGTAAATTATATACTCCGTAATTAGTATCAAAATTTGACTAATTACGTGTTATTAAAATCTAAAAATCAACCAATGATTTATTCAGTACTAATTAAAATTTTGAAGACTAAATATTATCACAAGTTTTCATTTATTATTTTTTGTTCTGACATCTTCACGTTGAGATGCATGAAAAAAAAAAAAAAAAACTGAACTTAGGAATCAACCAATCACAGTAATAATAGTATAATAATAGGTGGAATTGGTTGCCATTTCACATGGTAGGACACTTTCACAGCAATTTGGCCACACATGAAAATGGAGAATGAACTTATATCAGAGTTTTAATCACCATTTATATTTTCCACTTTAAGTAGCCTGTCCTCAAAAGATTTACGCATTACTTATTAGCTAATGTATTGCCCCATGCTTTTTGTAGTACCAAATCATACCATACTCAATGAAACTCCTGCTTATAAAGGTTTCATGATCATAGCATTGTTTTGAGATTTTGATGTTCGTCTTATTTTACCGATCAAAACTTACTTTGTACTCGTATTCTCGTAATATTAACAAGACCTATAAAAAGTTAAAAATAAAAACACTAGTGTGATCATTTCTCAATGAAATGTTACTGGTACCGATTAAAACTTACTTTGTACTCGTATACTCGTAGTATTAACAAGACCTATAAAAAGTTGAAAATAAAAACTCTAGTGTGATCATTTCTCAATGAAATGTTACTAGTATATAGAATTGGGCCACCCTGAATCCCTGATGGGCAAAATTGTGGTTCCACCACTACCTAACACATCAATTATTTTGAATAAGTAGAGTTGGTTGTGCATGGAAGGTACACTGGTTGCTCAAAAACTTAATTTGCAATTTCAAGGAAATTTGAATACAAGGAGAGTTCTGAAAACTCGAAATAGACACAAAAAAATAGGAGAAATCCTGATATTGAACATGTTCTAAGTGCTTGAAATCAAGAATGTATTATTGAAAGATTACAACAAAAAATCAATGAGATGAACCACAGAAAAATCCAAAGAAATACAATTATTTTCCTATGTACACAACTTGGGAGCAAGGGCACAGGGCTAGTGAGATAAATGATTAACAATTAACATACACACTTCACATAGTGATGCTCATTGGAAAATTTGCCAAAACTCACTCTTAACAAAATGCAATTATGCAACAGAGAACATATGAATAGAATTAAATTACAACTTCCTGAGAATAATCTACCTTGTCGAGAGCTATCTGAATCACATTACTATCTCCGGCTTCAAAATGCTAGTTTTGATCTCCTTGTGGGGCAAAACAACCCCGCCATTGCTGTAAATTTCATCACAGACATGAACATCTTCTCCAAGAACTGTCATATTCTCTACTCGAGCCCACTGCCCAACTGTTGAGTGCCATCCGATGATGCTGCTGGAGATGCAAGCATGTTTCTTGACCCGAACCCCTCGCATAATTGTGCAGCGAGAAAGTCTCACACCCGATTCTATCACACAGCCGGGTCCAATTGCTACATCTGGCCCAATGAGACATCCCTCTCCAATTTTCGCGCTCTCATCAACCAAGACATTGCCAACAATATGAGATCCACTGGCAAGTTTCGGTGACGAATTCTTTCTCAGAGAATCAAGGTAGAGCCTCAAGCCAGTAATATAATCTCTTGGTTGTCCAATGTCCATCCAAAAACCAGGTAGAACCATAGCAAAGAGCTTATTCTCAGATGCAATTTTGGGGAAGACCTCTTTTTCAATTGAAGTGGGTCTTAGTTCAATCTTGTCAAGGACGGATGGGTTCAATAGGTAAATTCCTGCATTAATCTTGTTACCCACAAAGATTTTGGGTTTTTCAACAAACTTTTCTACCTTCCCAGTGGATTCCTCCATTACTACAACCCCATACTTTGATGGTTCATCAACCTGTCAGATTACAAACAAGAACATTAAAAATTTGACAAACAGATCACACAACAATGGTTATAGGAAAATGAAGCAAGAGGCAGTCTAATTTAAGTACCTTTGTTACCATAATCGAAGCCTCTCCACCGTGACTTTTGTGGAACTCAATCATTGCTTTTAACGGGTATTCACTTATAACATCGCTGTTAAGAACAAAAAATGGCTCACCTGATTCATCAACCAGTTTGTCCCTAGCCAAAGCCAAAGGACCAGCAGTACCCAGAGGCTCAGTCTCTTGGGAGCAGGTAATTGTGATCCCAAGCTTAGCCTCAAAGTCCTTCAAGAAGTTTAACATCACCTGTCAAAGGCACAGAATAATATTCGTGTTAATACTTGAACTATAGCACCATGTGTGCAACTAAGTTCATAGAACAAGAAATTCACCTCAGGTTGGTAATTGATAGCCAAAACCACTTCAGTAACTCCAACAGCCTTCAGAGCTTCAATCTGAACATAATTGCAGAAAATATTTATGAGAAAAAACTAGTCTTTCACAGCAAGAATGCTTTTACAATTCTTGCTTGCACATAGATCAAATAACACCATGTTCCAAATTCATGATATTTGGCATTATAATTCTGAAGTCTTAATTGTGCCATGACATAAGAATCAACATATTCTTCAAGGTGTCACAAATGGCAAAATGCAGGCAACCATTACAAATCATAGACACACATCAAATCCCAAGAACATGAATTCATTATAGAGAAGATTACAAACCTGATGCATGATCATTGGCTTGTTAGCGAAATCGACAAGAGGCTTAGGGACACTGAGTGTCAATGGCCTCAGCCTAGTTCCAAAACCTCCAACAAGAATCAAAGCCTTCATCTTGAATCACTAAATTGCTGTCCTTGTATGATTTGAAATCAAAACCTAATCATAAATAAACATATGAAACAATGAAGCAGGGCATAAAATTAAACAGAATGTTTAATTTTGAATGAGCAAAGATTTTATACATTAAGCAACAAGTATCAAAATTAAATCTATGTACTAATGTACAAAACCAGAAGATTTATTTGACCACATTGAAAGTAGAGATTTGCCCACTTTTAAAGACTTTGACTTAATTTGACCAATCCCCAACCAATTTATATATCCTAAAATCAAAATCCCAACAACAATCAATACCAAATTGAGGTTATAGACCCAATCGACCACTCCCAATAAGACCAAACACACCAAACTTACAGAAATCATAAAAAATTGATTACAGACAAAAGTCACAAAACCCCACAAACTAAATCACAAATCCCAGCATTGCCCATTTGTATCAAGAGTCTAAAACCCACAAATTTTTATTTAGCAAAATTAAGAGAAATCCAGCAACATGATTAAGAACAACAACAGCGACATAAAATTGCTTAATTAATTAAAAGGGTAAACAAAATATAAAAAAGGATGAGATTAGAAGACCTGAGAGAAGCAATTGGGTGAATCTGATATCCCTCTTTCTCTCTTCTGGAGGAAGAAGGTGTCGGTCGATGGATTGTTGAATGGTGATGAAATAATGGGAAGATAATGAATAAATGTAATTTGAATGAACTGTATTTATATATATATATATACCAGTACAGGAAAATTAATATGTTAGTCTGCTTAATTTTACCTTTAACTCGCTTACAAGTTTTTTATTTGGTGTATGTATAATTCTATTATGATTTGTATGGATTAAAATCTACTCTTCCCATTTGACTAGTTGAACAGCCAACAAAATAAATAAAATAAATCATATAACTTTTTTTTTTTTTTTTTTTTTTAAATGTCAATACTTGTACTACCCTGTATATAATTTGTACTTTATGATATACATGTATAAATGTAAATCACATGTAATTTTGTTTTCATATACTCTTATCGTATTAGCTTGGTTCACTAATATTAGATCATGAAAATCGTGAGTATTGATGTTTGATTAGGGTCTTTCACCTTCTCTTATAAAAAAAATATGGTACAACACATATTATATTTTCTTTGCTAAGTGATCCAAAATAAATGATCAAAAAGCAATTTACTCCGTAGTTTCTTAATCATCTTTTGTAATGCAATCATATATAACCTTGTTAAAATTATCTTAGTATATAATTTTAAAATATACTTGGTAACTTTTAATAATCAAAAGAGAATGTAGGGAATTTAAATTATACTATATTATGTTTTCTCTTTCAAGATTTTCAAACAAATAAGAATGGAGTATTAAAGAAAACTCCCAAATACTTTATCCCTTTAAATTGGTATTAGTATGAGGGAGATAGCCCACCACGCTAGGCTTTTTATGGGGTTTTCCCACCACTCTCTTCTTTTTTCTTTCCCCTTTTCCTTTTTCTTTTTCTAAATGAGGGAGTTGAGTTAGGTGGTGTACACATTTAGATGTTGAATTTTTGTTATTTTTTTTTGAAGAAAATTTATGTATATATAACATTTTTTGTTCATTTAACAAATTATCATTTAGAAAAAATTGCTCATTTATTTATTTAGTATATACGACCACAAAAACCAAGTACTCGAATACTACATATTGTACATAATTTCAATCACCATACAATTAATTGAAAGTCAAGTATTATAGAGTATGTAATTTAACTAGATTAGGGGAGTATCCATTTTATGAGTGTTAATATACTTATCTCTCTTTCTTGAGATAGCTCAAATGGAATTTCCTAGATGTGAAGGAAGGGTGCCAAATCTCAATCCTCTCAATTACAAACCTTTTAGTGTTTGACCACCAACCATATATTATAATTTAATTTGTGGATATGGACCAAATTAACCTAAATTCCTAGTCCCTCAGCTCCTACATATTACAGAACAATTTCATATTACAATATCATATGGTAGAAAGATTAAATTGTGTTAATAATAACAAAATATAGGTGCAAGTGCAATTATTTTTTTAAAAAATGCAATAACATTAATGATAATAGTAAGCTTATTCCAAAGTTACAAAAATCTCACGGTTAAGCTTAATTTTTTTTTTATATTAAAAGAAAAATTTGTTATTTTTTACAAGTATGAATATGATTGTAAAATTTTGTTTTTTTTTTTTAACTTGTAATAAGCGCGATAAAATATTATAATAGTCATGTATAATTATTATTAAGATTTTAGTAGTGATGTATAATTATTATTCTCAATATGATGAAAGATTTTTTTAGCTAACATTTGACTACATAAGTACGGAACTCATACGATTAATAAGGAATTCTTCACCAAAATAAAAAAAATGGAGGGCCTAGTAATTTATTAAATGTTTTAAAATAGACTACGTGACTATCAATTGCTTACAAAAGAGTATTGTGTATTTTATGACCGAACAATGTGAACAACTGTCACGGGCAAACTAGTCTTGACCATAACCAGGCCATGAGCCCAAGGTGTGATACTTTATAAATGAATATATTGATAAGGCACAATTTCAACGATGATGGTAAAGCCCAAGAAAAGGCCCAAGTTATCTGTGTGAACCAATCACAATACCATACTGTTAGATGCTAAGACTAGTTTGAGCTGATATAAAATGAGTTTGTTTACTCAACTAGCCTCAAGTTTGTCAACCATTGTACCACATTTGTTGCAGTTAATCGTCAAATTACATTCTTCTGCTAGTTTTGTGCTTGTGCCCCTCCGAGGCCCCGAGCACGAGAGCTTGGGCAGAGAGACCAGCTAGATCATATGATCAGAACAACCTTTCCTATGGAGTTAGTCATGTTTATGCCATTGTTGAACAGACAGCTAGTATGAGCAGAGGTTTTAGATTTATCAAGTGTTTTATATCATGACTTGATCAAAGTATATTGTAACAAATTAAGTTGAAGCCTTCTAAGTATTAGATTTCATAGTCAGTATGGAAGCTGTGCATAAACGCATTCCATTCCAAGAAGCCAATACATCATATAATAACTAACAATTACACTAAACAAAGTAAAAAGACGCGAAAGTTTTGATTTAAATCAGTATCTGAAACTAAACAGAAAGTTGTGCAACTAGTCTACAATTTCTTAGCTGTAGCAATGCTGATTATATACTCAATTTCTTCTGCTATTTCCTTCATGGAAGGCCGGTTTTGCCTGCGCTCCTCCAAGCACCCAATGGCAAGAAATCCTAACGCCTTCATAGTGTCTATCTCCATGCTGCTAGCTCCCTCTTTCAACAGAGGATCTACAGCATCCAGCATCCGTTCCTCATCCACCAACCTCTTAACATACATAGCCAAGTTAACATCATCAGCTTCTCGATTAAAGTCAATAGCCTTCTGTGATGTTAAAAGCTCTAACAGTACGACTCCAAAGCTGTAAACATCACTCTTATCTGTCAACTGATAGTTCCTATAGTACTCAGGATCTAGATATCCAAGAGTCCCTTGTGCGCAGGTAGAGATGTGACTCATATCCGTCTCAGCCAACCTTGACAACCCAAAATCAGAAACCTTAGCATTCAATTTCTCGTCTAGCAAAATGTTGGATGACTTTACATCTCTATGATAAATATTAGGATTTGCTGAGAAGTGGAGGTATGCAAGGGCCTCAGCAGTATGATAAGCAACGCTCAATCGATGAGACCATGTAAGACGGCTATACCCTCCAGGTTTATGCGCGTGCAAGTGATCATACAGTGTACCATTAGAAATATACTCGTACACCATTATAGGTTGCTCAAGCTCAACACAACAACCAAGTAAACGAACAAGGCTCTTGTGATTAACTTGGCAGAGGATTCGGACTTCATTCAGAATCTGATCAGTTCCTTTCGCGTTACCAACCTTTGCACACTTGACAGCAGTAAGTGTGCCATCATAAAGAGTACCTTTGTAAACGTCACCATAACCTCCAGAGCCTAAAAGGCGGTCTTTAGAGAAGTGGTTGGTGGCTTTCTTGATCTCCCTACCACTAAAGATCTTGGCAGTTCTTCCTCCACCAGAGTTCAGAACCTCTTCTCGTTCCTTCTTTAGGCGATCTTGAGCTTCTTTTATCCTGCGTTGACGTTTGTAATACATTGCTACTATGGTTGCAAGAACAAATGCACCTCCTATCCCCGATACCAAGCCTAAAAAATAAAGTAAAAACGTTTATGTCAAACATATATACCAGCAGAAATGGGCATTAGAATTTATTTCTTTTGAGGCAATTGGCCATTAGATTTGTTATTAAGGTTTAAGGTGTATTTATCCTCAATTTAGCTTAGATCAATGGTTTATTTGCAAATTAGTAAATTACTTTAGTGCACGTTCTTGCTTATATTCATGTTGGAGACTACCTATTTAGTACAGTACTAGTAGTAATCAAATCTTTAAATTTTGTAATGTGTTTTCTTAATTTCATGATTAGTAAGTTGTAAGGTTGTTACAATTTATGTGTACTGTGTAGGTATGTAATTGTAATACAGGTAACAATTGTAGTATTAGTACAATGTAACAATAAGAAGTTACACGACTAAAATCCTCAAATTCTAAAAATTCAACTTCTTTTACTCACCAACTGCAAGAACATTATTAGACAAGTAATGTTATTTTTAAGCATATACGAAGTAAATACCTAGTCACATAAAAGGACAATAATCACAATATGGAGTACAATACATGAGATTCTATAAATGTTAATGTAAGACATTGCACGATTTGCCACATAAGTGCACATAATTTTATACGGTACTAAATAAGGTTTTGATGAGTTTTAATACTTACATACGTTCATGTATATCGTCAATAAGTTCAAATAATTTAAGTTCATGCAAGATACTCCTTAAGTTTTATTCGGAGTACTTGCGTTTCCAATTTGCATTGTTGCATATAGCAATTGAACATTAGTCGACTAGTCAAAGAAGTTATACCTGCAATTAAGGCAGCCTTATTTGAATCATCACACCCTCCTTGTTTCTCACAAACATAATCTGCAATTTTCAAACCATCATTAATATCACCATTAACATAATCAACAACTAATCCTAGGATTACTACTTTCACATTATTAATAACCCAAAAAATTAATTACTTACTTGGACTGCAAATTCCATTAATACCATCCCAATGAAGCCCAGAATTACAAAAACACCTACTGGTCCCCACTGAGTTAATATCAGCCCTACACGTGGAATTCCCACCATCAACGGCACAATCTGCCTCAGTCCTACAAACTGGTTCCTGTGGTAGCGTCCACTGGATCATCAACCCGGGATGACCCCACTGGCCCACGGGCTTATTCGGGTTCAAGTCCACGAAACTACGGTAAGCCCGACAACCCGCTTCCCTGACCCGAATAGAATACGACGTCGTTCCACCACCAGCACGAAAAGTACAACAAATAGGCGACCTCTCACACGCGGAAGCCTCACGTGTGGAGTTAACATACACGTGACAAAGACTGTTAGAGGAGCAGTTAAGTGGGGACCCCAAGAGAGACTGGGAGCAGTTAAGGAACATGATGGTGTTGTCACCCGTGACGTTAAACGGTGCCGTTTGGTTGAGTTGGACACCTTGGGTGGAAATATCTGATGTGATGCAGGTGTTGGGGAGGAAAGGTGAGGGCGCAATTATGAGGCGTTGATTGGTTGGTGTGATGGAAGTGATTGGGTAAGTGTTGTTGGAGGTTGGGAATAGTAGTGTTGAGTTGTTGTTGCATTGGATTTTGTAGTCTTGGTCACCGCACGAGGGGGCCGTGCTAAGTGGGTATGGAACACGGGTTGTGCCGCACAGGGGGCATTCGCGGGATGATGTGGTGGTTGTTGCGGCGGCTAGGAGGAGGGCCACCGTGAGTAGGAGGTGGAGCATTTTGGAGGAGAGAGAATATTTGGGGACGGAAATGTTGTGAGTTGGTGGTACTAAAATGAAATGAAATGGGTTGCATGTAGGCTTATATAGATTATAGAATTATACTCCGTATTTTTCTGACATTTGACTTTTGAAAGTTGATGACCAGTCAGATTTTTGTCACATTTAAGGTTCTAGTCTTCTAGAGTTATTGTCATTGGTTCAAAATCTTTTGATGCGTATTGAGATTTAATGCAAGTAGTAGTTTAAAATTTATTTTGTGACAATCCAAATTATTGGTGGGACGCAATTGGATTTTAAATATGGTTTTATTGGCCTTAAAATTCTGAATTATACTTTGGACACAACTAGAGCTATCAATTTGAGTAAGTGGGTCGGATAAGAGTGGATCTGGTCAACTTAGGTCGGGTCAATTCATATTAATTCTATAACCTATGCGAATCGGGTTTGGGTTGGGTCATGCCATACTTCTTATCGGGCTTGGGTCAGGTTTAGGTCGGGTTACATTCGAATCGGGTTAACAATAGCCCGGGTTTAATTCAGGTTTTCACGGGTTAAAACAGGTTAGGGTAATTCTCAGGCTCGAGTCGGGTGCAGTTCAAGTCAATAATTTACAGGTTAGAATCAAGTCGGATCATTCTCGGGTTTGAGTCGGGTTCGGTTCAAGTCAATAATTACGGATTATAATCAGGTCGGGTCATTCTTGGGTTCAAGTCGGGTTCGGTTTAAGTCAATAATTTGCCGTGTATAATCAGGTTGGGTCATTTTCAAGTCGGGTCATTCTCGGATTCAAGTCGAGTTATATTCAAGACTTCAAGCCAATAATTTGCAGGTTACAATCAGGTCAGGTCATTTCCCGGTCAGGTCATATTCGGGTTCAACTAAATATAAATAGATAATTATCATTTTTATCAAGCTAATCATTTCCTTTAACTATAATATATATGGCAATATACTAGGGAATTAAAGTCTATAATTTAGGAAGATAATTATCTCCTTTGACCATACAACAAATATATACTATATTTAACTCTTAAATTTAAGGATGATGCTCCTTTCTTTTGCTAGCCTGGACCGACTTGGTCTCCCTAGACAAAATGCATTGATCAACAATAATAAGGTGGTCTAAATTGCATTTAAGGTGATTTGAAATCAAGTCAGGAACAATTTGGGTTGAATTTAGGTCTGGTCAATAACAAGTCGTGTTGATTTTGTGTCGAGTTAATAACAGATCGGATTGAATTTTTGGGTCAGGTTAGTAATAGGTCTGGTAAAATTCGGGTCGGGTCAATAACAAGTCGGGTTGATTTTGGGTCATGTCAATAACAAGTCGGGTTTGTAGCAGGTTTGTTTAAATTCGGGTCGGGTAAGGAACGGGTCGGGTTGAATTCAGGTCAGGTTAGTAACAACTAACAAGTCCGGTTAAGTTCGGGTTAAAATGGGTTTGGGTCAATTTCGGTTCAAGTCGGGTTCGGTTAAGGTCCATAATTTACGGGTTACATTCGAGTCGGGTAATCTCCAAGTCGGTTCATGTTCGGATTCGCTTATCACATACTCGGTCACCTCGCGTCTAGGGTTAGTTTTAGGTCGGGTTTTGGTCACCGCTTTTTCGGGTTCAGATGGGTCGGTTAATAATCGAGTTTGAGATGGCATTTCGGGTCGGGTCAACTTTTGATAGATCTATTAGGGACCATGGTAAACATTTTGGCAATTTTTATTTCCGGGAGAAAAAAGTAAAAAAAATTCCAAAATTGAAGGCTAATATCCACGCTTTTTGAGAAATTTTGCAGGTTTCGGGGCCCGGCGTAGAAACGTCTTGATATTTTAGGGGATACATCTCGAGGTCATATAATGCCGTTTGGAACCATATATGATCATTATATGTTGTCATAAATGTTCGTAGTAGGCTTTAGTTAATGAAATTCGTGCAAGTTATAAACCGGTAAATTGGGCGTTAAAAGGAAAATTGGATGGTTCCACCAACCCAATTGGACTCCCAGAGGGTATTAGGGTCCATGGTAAACGTTTCGGCAATTTTGTATTTCCAGGCAAAAAAAAGTTCAAAAATTCCAAAATTGAAGGCTAATATCCACGTTTTTTGAGAAATTTTAGAGTTTTCGAGGCCCAGTGTCGTAAAGTCTTGAAATTTCAGGGGATACATCTCGGGGTCATATAACGTTGTTTGGAACCATATTTGATCATTATTTTTTGTCATAAATGTTCGTTGTAGGCTTGAGTTAATGAAATCGGTGCAAGTTGTAAACCGGTAAATTGGTCGTTTAAAGGCAAATTAGATGGTTCCACCCACCCAATGGGACTCTTGGACGGTATAAGGGACCATGGTAAATACTTCGACTAATTTTAATTTCGGGCAAAAAAAATTCAAAATTGAAGGCTAATATCCACGTTTTTTGAGAAATTTTGAAGGATCTGGGGCCTGGTGTCGAAAAGTCTTAAAATTCTAGGGGATATATCTCGGGGTTATATAATTCCGTTTGGAACGAAACATGATCATTATTTGTGTGTTATAAATGTTCATGGTAGGCTTGAGTAATGAAATCAGTGCAAGTTATAAACCGTTAAATAGGTTGTTTAAAGGAAAATTGGATGGCTCTACCCACCCAGTTGTCCTGGACTCCCGAAGGGTATTAGGGACCATGGTAACATTTCGGAAATTATTATTTCCGGATGAAAAAAAGTCTAAAAATTCCAAAATTAAAGCCTAATATCCTTACTTTTTGAGAAATTTTGGAGGTTTGTGCTCGGTATATAAAAACCTTGAGATTCTAGGGAATACATCTCGGGGTCATATAATGTCGTTTGGAACCATATATGATCATTATTTGTTGTAATAAATCTTCGTGGTAAAATTGAATTAATGAAATCAGTGCAAGTTGTAAATCGGTAAATTGGGTGTTTAAAGGCAAATTGGATGATTCCACCCACCCAATTGGACAACCGGAAGGTATTAGGGAATAGGGACATGGTAAAAATTTTGACAATTTCTATTATCGTGCGAAAAATAGTAAAAAATTTCCAAAATTGAAGGCTAATGTCCATGCTTTTTGAGAAATTTTGGAGGTTTCAGGGCTCGATGTCGAAAAGTTTTGAAATTTTAGGGAATACATTTTGGTGTCATATAATATCGTTTGGTACCATATATGATCATTATTTGTTGTCATAATGTTCGTGGTAGGCTTGAGTTAATGAAATCAGTGTAAGTTGTAAACCTGTAAATTGGTCGATTAAAGGCAAATTGGATAGTTCCACCCACCCAATTGGACTCCTGGAGGGTATTAGGGAACATGGTAAAGTTTTCACAATTTTTATTTTCGGGCGAAAAAAGTAAAAAAATTCCAAAATTGAAGTCTTAATATCCATGTATTTTGCGAAATTTTGAAGGTTTCAGGGCCTGGTGTCGAAAAGTCTTGAAATTCCAGAGGATACGTCTCGGGGTCATATAATTCTGTTTGGAACCATATATGATCATTATATGTTGTCATAAATGTTCTTGGTAGACTTGAATTAATGAAATTAGTGCAAGTTGTAAATCGGTAAATAGATTGTTTAAAGGCAAATTGGATGGTTACACCCACCGAATTGGACTCTTGGAGGGTATTAGGGACCATGGTAAACATTTCGACAATTTTTATTTTCGATCGAAAAAAAAGTCAAAAAAAATCCAAAATTAAAGGCTAATTATCCACGATTTTTGAGAAATTTAGAGGTTTCAGGGCCCGGCGTAGAAAAGTCCTGATATTGTAGGGGATACATCTCGGGGTCATATAATGCCGTTTGGAACCATATATTATCATAATTTGTTGTCATAATGTTCGTGATAAGCTTGAGTTAATGAAAATAGTGCAAGTTGTAAACCGATAAATTGGCCGTTTGGAACAATATATGATCATTATTTTTTGTCATAAATGTTCGTTGTAGGCTTGATTTAATGAAATCAGTGCAAGTTGTAAACCGGTAAATTGGTCGTTTAAAGGCACATTGGATGGTTCCACCCACCCAATGGGACTCTCGGACGGTATTAAATTATGTACCATGGTGAACATTTCGACAATTTTTAATTCTGGGCGAAAAAAAGTAAAAAATTTCAAAATTGAAGGCTAATATCCACGTTTTTTGAGAAATTTTGAAGGATTCAGGGCCTGGTGTCGAAAATTCTTAAAATTCTAGGGGATACATCTTGGGGTCATATAATGACATTTGGAACGACATATGATCTTATTTGTTGTCATAAACGTTCGTAGTAGGCTTGAGTTAATGAAATCAGGGCAAGTTGTAAACCAGTAAATTGGTCGTTTAAATGCAAATTGGATGGTTCCCCCAACCCAATTGGACTCCCATATGGTATTAGGGACCATGGTAACATTTCGGCAACTATTATTTCCGGGCGAAAAAAATTCTAAAAATTCCAAAATTAAAGCCTAATATCCATACTTTTTGAGAAATATTGGAGGTTTCGTGTTCAGTATATTAATGCCTTGAGATTCTAGGGAATACATTTTGGGGTCATTTTGAGGTTTCTTGTTTGGATCATATATGATCATTGTCATAAATATTCGTGGTAGGCTTGCGCTAATGAAATCGGTGCAAGTTGTAAACCAGTAAATTGGCCGTTTAAAGGCAAAATGAAGTGTTCCACCCACCTAATTGGACTACCGGAGTGTATTAGGGACCATGGTAAACATTTCGGTAATATTTTTTATCAGGCGAAAAAAAATCAAAAAATTCCAAAATTGAAGACTAATATCCACGTTTTTTTAAAATTGTGGAGGTTTTGGGGCCCGGCATAGAAAAGTCTTGATATTGTAGGGGATACATTTTGGGGTCATATAATGTCGTTTGGAACCATATATGATCATTATTTTTTGTCATAAGGTTCATGATAGGCTTGAGTTAATAAAATCAGTGCAAGTTGTCAACCGGTAAATTGGCCGTTTAAATGCAATTGGATGGTTCCGCCAACCCAATTGGACTCCCATAGGGTATTAGAGACCATGGTAAACATTTTGGAAATTTTGTGTTTCCAGACGAAAAAAGTCAAAAAATTCCAAAATAGAAG